TGTGTGTGTGTGTGTGTGTGTGTGTGTGTGTGTGTGTGTGTGTGTGTAGGGGGACAAACCCAGGGCTCCAATCTTTCTCTGCAAGATTTCTTCCACTGAAACACGCACACAAACACACCATTAACACTCTGCTCTAGACTAGCGCACAGCTCTATTTTCTCAGTCTCTTGGAGCTGTTCTCTTTCCTGGAACTGGGGAACATTTTATGTGTTAAAATAAGACTGGAGAGAGAGCAGAAGTCAATCCTATCTGTGACAATTCAAAGGCCCCTGGTTTTCTATTTCGATGATAGTGCTGACTTTATCTGTTTTCAAGAAATGATTTTCCTTTTCCTGGATTAAACACCGCAAAGAGCAGGGTAAGGAAAAACAAATAATGACACTACCAGCATGCTCTCCTCGCTTTGCTATTAACTAGTTGTGTGGTCTGGAACACAGCATTTAACCCTTTTTCCTGGGGGGTGTGGGGGGGAATAGGGCAAGGACAGTTTCACGACTGACTTCAAACTTATTATATAGCTGAGGATGACCTTGAACTCTCCCAAAACTCCCCAGCCCGCTGCCTCTACCTCCTAAGTGTTGGGATTACAAGTACTAACCACCACACCAGCACGTGGTAACCCCTAACTCTCTACCAGCAGATGGAGGCTAAGTGGGGTCAGGGCATAAGGAAAAGGGACAAAGACCAGACACTGACTCTCTCTGACTCTCTCCAGAACCCAGGCATTTGCTTCCTTAGCAAAACCATAGCACGTGCTACTAATTCACAGCCAGAGTTAATCGGGAGCAAGCACCAGCAGGGCTACACAGGTTTCATCAAGTCCAAAGGGAGGCAGAAGCGGAAGCAAAAGGTTCAGCTACTGCTGACTATTTAATTTGCAGGAACCATTTTCTGGAGCTAGACACTTCAATTGGTCCCCAGCACCAAGCATTGAGGCCAGCGGGGCACCACCATGGGGTGGTGGAGACTGTGAGATGAGCTACCAGGTCTTTAAGTGTCAGAGCATCTGGCCAACCGAGTCTACTTCCCTTACCCAGCAACCGACCTGGCTCATCGGAAGTCTTCCCGTTTGAGACCTCCTATCTAGACTGCTGCCTTTGCATCTCTGGCAAAATAAAGAACAAAGTCACAGCAAGACCCCAGGCTGGGGATGTAGCCTCGGAGGCATAGAGTCTACCTAGCACGTTCAAAGCCATGTTCCTTCCCTGATACCACCAAGAGGATAAAACAACACAAAAATAAAAGTTAAGAACAAGTGTATGACCTCACAGAAACGGAATCACACTTACTGAGTTACACGGTAAGCAATTTGTAATTATCCTCTAGGTGGAGTCTGGCTTCCTTGGCCAATTAAGAAAGGTCATTCTAGCCAGGTGTGGCCTTTAATCCCAGCATGGGAGAGGCAGAGTCAGGTGGATCTCTCTGAATCTGAGGCCAGCCTGAGAAACCCTGTCTCAAAAAAAAAAAGAAAAAAAAAAAAAAAAAAAAAAAAAAAACCAACCACCAAAACCCTTTTTGGTTAAACACAAAAAAATCTAAAAAAAAGGGGGGGGGGGGGGGGAATACGCTGCCTGGGTGCTTAAGAAAGCACCAGTAGAGAACCAACCAGGATAAAGAGATGTTAGGCGGAAAGGCTGAGCCAGGGTGACACATACCTTTAATCCCAGCAGACAGATCTCTGTTAGTTTGAGGCCAGTCTGGTCTAGATAGTGAGTTCCAGGACAGCCAGGACTACACAGAGAGACCCTGACTCAATAAATAAATAGAAGAAGAAGATTCCAGAACTGGCCCTCTTCTTGATTGTCTCTGGCCGTCTTTCTAGATTTCACTAAGTCTCACCATTGCCCTAGGACTGCACACTCCCACAGTCACAGCAGGAGATGGAGCGGAAGCAAGCCTACACCTCCAGGTTGGCCTGGTCCTGCTCATCGGCCCAGAGGTGGGAAGACAACACGTCCAAGCAGCACCAAGCATGCTTGTGCGTGCGTGTGTGTGTCCAATTCCATTCATTTGCCTTTTTTCATTCTCCACAAAGTCATATGCTGCTTCTCCATTGATAAGGTTAAGAGGCGCCTAATTACCCAAGACCAACTCAAAACGCTGCCACCCTTGAAACGCACGCAAACTCCAGAGCTTGTTGATAAGGCTGTTGGGGGTGGGGCATGGCTAAGCTCTCTCTCCCTCTCAGTCTTTGGCAGCCAGTGTCTAGTGTCGTTTCGTAAACTTCAGGCTACTTGGATCTTGCCTTGGATTGTCCTAGGGTCTCACCTGAACACTGGCACCAGACGTGGAAGATCGGATACACAGCCCGGGGTGGGGGAGCAATAGTCTGAGTTAACAGAAACACAGGGCCCCTTTCACAAAATAGTGAGTAGATCACATGTCTAATAGATTGAAAGCACCGATTTTAAACACAAATACGTTGTGGCTCACTGATTTCATTTGCTGCCACACTAAACCACAAGAGCGTTTTTCAAACTGCCTTGATTGGCTTCGTGTTCTCGCCATGTGTCCCTGGACAGACGCAAAGCACTAGTGAGATAGCCAAAGAGGTGGGGAGGAGAAAAGGGAACGAAAGGGAAGCCCGGGCTGGAGTGACTGACCCTCACTGAGTCACCGTTTCCTCAATGGCGGAGCTCGCTGTTGGGGGGGGGGGGGGGTCGGAAGAATGCAAGCTGACCTGCGCGTGGAGGCCGAGCCCTGGAGCGGGGAGCCCCCCACCCTGCAGCCCCGACACCCAGAGCTCGGAAGGGCCGGGCCCGGCGGGCTGGAGCGCCCTCCGGTGGCCGCGCCGCAGGCCCCACCACCGGGGCTCTCCTTCAGACCTCGCTCCCCGCCGCGGAAGAAACGAGACACGCAGAAAGTTTCCGAGCCAGGCGGTCAGCAAAGGACAAGCCGGGTCCCGGAGGAAGCCTGGATGCGCGGGCTGGGCAGGAGCCAGCGCCCAGACCGGAGGCGACAAGGGGAAGTCGGGGGTCTAGACGGACCCTCACTCCAGGCCTCCGACGTGCCCCCGGGCGGGACGCGGGTCTCGCAGATCCCACCCGCACGGGATGGTCTCCGCAAGCCCACCTCGTAAAGGGGGGGCATGGGGACAGTGGCTTCCACCACGGCCGGGGTACCCTCGACACCCCGGCTGCAGAGCGTGCTCCGGCTCTTGCTGGACTCTCTCGGTGTATTTGCTTAATTGGAGGGAGGGGGCGCAGCGGCTCCCCGTGACGCATTGTGGTCCCCCGTAATCTGATTCTAGATGTCCCCCGAAGAGCCCACCTGGGCTCCCCGCCCCACCCCCACGCCGCCTTTCCTCCGCCAGGGTGACGAGTGGGAACGGCGGATCCCCTGCCTCCTCCCCTTGCAGCCTCCAGGTTTAGGCGCCAGGGTTTCCCCGCCGCACGCAGCGGACCGGCCGCCCGGCCGAGAGGTGGCGGCCGGGGACCCGGGGCGGGCGAGGCCCGGCGCGGCGCCTACCTCCTCCACGGTGAGCGGCATGCAGATTCGGTACTCCTTCAGCAGCATGGTCCTGCCGGCCCCGGACCCCGGGAGAGGAGGGGACGTCCCAGCAGACGAGCGAGGCTGGCGCCCAGCCGAGGGCGAAGGCGCTGCGAGCCGGCGGGCGGGCGAAGCGGTCTCGGCGCTGCGCTCAGCTCCTCCCGGCTGCCTCCGGTCCGCCCCGGAGCATGTCAGGCTTCGGGTCCCGGCGTCTGCGACTCCCCCGCCTCCCCGCTCGCAGAGATCAGCCCTCCCGGTAGTGCAAAGTCAGGGACTGAGGGAGGGGAGACCCGCGGAAGACGGCTCGGCTCGGCAGCCCCGGGCTGGTAGGCGCGGCCACCAGATCAGGACATGCCCGGCGGCGGGCGAGAGAGAGGCAAGGGGGTGGGAAAGAGATCTCCGCGAATTCAAACAAATGCACAAAAGTCACCCTCCGGATCCTCCTCCGAAGGCAGAGCCGAGCCTGGCGAGCCCCCCTTTTCCTCCGACCCGTCTACCCTGGGCTAATGTCACCAGGAACACGGTGCCGCGGGAGCCGGCGATGCTGACTTTCCAAACAAAGGCTCGATGGGCTCCTCTCCCCGGGCGGTAAACAAGATTTCCTGCTCTTTTTTAGGGCCAGTCCCCGAGTCTCTCCGGAGCTCGGCGGAGAGAGAAAGGGGAAGCCGCGGCCGCCAGCGCTCTGCCCTGCCCAGGGCCCCCGGTGTCTTCAACCTCGGCGGGGAGCTGCCAGCGCCTTGCGCACGTCCCCTCCCCCGGGTCCCTCGGCTCGGCGAGCGCCGTGCGTGCCCGTGAGTTTGCAGCCACCTCGCCGCGACTGGAGAGTCCGCGCCGAGCTGCAGTGTGCCTGGGGCAGGGAGGTGGGTGCGGGAGGAGCGAGCGAGAGCGACGAGGCTGACATCAGCAGCGGCCGCGGCGGGGAGGGTAGCCCCATCCGGCCAATGGGGAAATGGCAAAGAATGTGGAGGATTTAAACAAAACAGCATGTCTCTCCCCGTCTGCTGCCAGGAGCCAGGGCAGTCCCAGAACCCAGAGCTTCGAGCGCCGGGAAGGATCGCGAGGAGGGTCTATCCTGGACTCTTACAACGTTGGGATCTGTCCTCAAATGTACCCTGAGAGCCAAAGGGCTCTCAGTCGCTCTGGAAGCCCTGTTTCCAAAGTACACCTAGTGTCCCCTGACTTTGGGGGTGGGGGCGTCTTTACAAATGACCACCGCAGACATTTTTCTCTCTGATAGGGTTAAGCAAGGCCAGAGCAAGAGAAGCGAAGGTTTTAGAGCGTGTTTCTCTAACATATTCTAGAGACGGGATCCTGCAACAATGTGGGTGAAAACAAAGTACAAATGCACGGGCGCGCGCGCGCGCGCACACACACACACACACACACACACACAGAGAACACCCTGTCATTGTCTGTTACCTCTTTCTCCCTGGCTCTGCAATCCTACTGTAGGCTTCCCAGAGCAAAAGAATAGGTTTTCGTGTCAGCACTCCTAAGTTCAAAAAGTCACAGTGAAATGTCAATAAAAATGCCTGGGGTGCTGGTATTTCATCCATATTAAACAGATCTCTCATTTTAACCACAAGAAGCACATTCTTCAGTTATTCAGGAAGCAGCATGTAACTGCTGAAGTCTGGTTTTCATTTGTCTGGTATTTGCTTTTTTTTTTTTTTTTTTTTTTT